CAGAACATTCATTTTTTTAAGGTCAGGTCAAGCGTAAAAAGGATTTATTTCAAATCCCACAGATTCCCGCCGAAAAAAGATGAAATACCGGAAGACCGTTATAATTGACCTCGGGTGTGTTTTTTAACGCACAATTTTATTTCATCTGTATTTAAAAAGAAATTTTCAGACTCGAAAAACGCTCTTCAATTTGAATTCATCGGCTTTATATGCATCAGCTGAACATTGTTTTGAAAACTTTGCAGCAAAAAAATAAAAAATAAAACAGTACGGAATATCGATACCCCGAGTGAGAATTGGAAAAAACCCGTTGTTTATTCACGTCTTCATCAAGTTCCCCCCAGCTTAAGTGTTGTTGACTCAGTCCCACTAAAATAAGCAACGAAAAAAAAAACTATAACCCACTTCCACCTGTTCAGTCTATTATTTTTCAGGCTCAAAAGGGCAAACAGAATGAAAAGAATGTTGAGCAAATATGGAAAGCTATGCGGGTGTTTGTGAAATGTTTCTCGGGAGTTGAGAGGAAAATGCTTGAGCACACAAATCTTGAGGGCTTTTGTAGATTATGAGTTGGTTTTGAACTTTTAATACAGTGTAAGTATATAAACCATCAGATATTCGTCGTTCTAGTTTCTCGGCAGTTGTATAGTTGAGAGGGAATATTTTGTGTTTTCTTTTTTTGCAGTTCATTGAACTGCATTTTTCCTGGAATTGCAAAAATGATTTTCCATACATTGCCTCTATAATATTGTTTACAAAGTGATCTTGAAACAGTTTTGTGAAATTCTGGTGATGATTCATAATTCTGACTGTCCCCACATTTTTTAAAATGTCAGTACATCTTGAAATCACTTGTAGCAACAACAAAAATGCATTGCAACTTCATGTCAAATGGAAAATAAGATACAACCACATTGATAAAAATAACCTAAGAAATAAAAAGAATCTTCAGCTTCAGATAATTCAAACACAAAAGGATCACAATGTGAAACTTTTCCAAGATTTAAATCACAGTTCAGGGTTTTCTTGAAAGTTTTCTTGAAAAATTTCAGAGAATGTTTCATATCTGAGTATACTTATTTGAAGACCAATTTCTATGAAAACGGATTCCAACCGAATTCAACCTATGAAAACCTAATTCCTTCTGGACAAACGTATGAAATTAAGCAAAGTGTTATTGTTTCAGGCTCAAGGCATTCCTGTTATTATTTAAAGTTCAAATTTTTGTTTTGTGCAAACCTTCTACAAAATGTGTTCATAAAAATCTACTGACTATTTTGTGTTACAGAGTTTTGATACATTTTCCATCATTTGAAAACTAACTAACAATGCTTTGAAGTAACTAGAACAATCTTCCATGCAGGGCTCATTACATTGAAATGCTTTTAAATTTATCTTCACACAGTAGGGTGAATATACTGATCAAAAGCAATTTATTCATTTTGGCCAGTTGGAATTGATTGAATCTGTTGCCAATGAGCAAGGAATGCATTACAACCCTGAAACCAATTGCATTTTTAAATATAATTAGATTCACAATCCGTGGATTTAAAAATTTTATGAAGAAATTTTCAGGAATAAAACTAGAAAAAAGCCCATAATTTCCTTATTTCATACAAAAACCCCAGTCAATTTGAAGAAAATTTCATACAGTCAACCCCTGCCTAATGTAACTCCCTTTTAAGGCAGTCTTTTCCTCCTGCCTGATGGACAAAATCTGCCTAACAGACTTCTGTTGGTTTGAAATGAATGATATAAAAAGTTAAAATTTTAGTTTTTAATAATTGAATTGGCGTATAACAGAGTTATCACATGACAGACTAGTCTATTTCACAAATTAGGTCTGAATCTGTGGGGGTTGCCTGTAATTAAGTAAAGAACCTCTTTTTTCCATGCATGAAAAAAGTTTTGTTTTCAAAAAGATTAGTTATTAGGGAATAGGTTATGTTATATTGTTGTATAAAGTACAGTCAACCCCCATCTAACGGACTTGATTTGTGCAAGGGACGAGTCTGTTAGACGAAAAGTCCTTTAGACGAATTCAATTACATAAAAAATTAAAAATTTTAATTTTCAACACTAATTTTAAACCAAAAGAAGTCTGTTTTGCGGATTTTGTCTGTTGGGCGGGGAGAAAAAACTGCTTGCAGAGCTGGTCTGTTAGGCGGAAATCCCTTACACGGGAGGTATGTTAGGCGGGGGGGCCACTGTATTTCATTTGATGTACAAAAGAGAAAACAGGCAATCTTCACAGAGATCTTTTGAAAATGCAAATGAAATATTTTGGACAGATTAATATCTTCATGCAAAATTTGAAAAATTAGGCAGAATAGAAATTCAACAAGGGTTGCCTCACTTTTGCGCAACTTTGTTTATACAGTATTTCTGAAGTACATATAAGTGTTGAAAATGTGTCATGCCAGCAGTTGAACATTGAAACTTCTTTGTTGTTTTTTAGCCACCATCTAAATTGTAGAAAAGATGATGGTTAAATCAACAAAAGATTTCAATTTTTGCTGGCATGAAAACCTTTTCAGCACACATACATGGGTGGAAAAATCTGGCAATAAACTGGAATCGTCAGAATTTTTTGCAGATATCACAAAAAAAAGGCTTGAAATGTTTTCTGTGCTGGAAAAGGAGGGGGTTGTTGCCATTTTCTTTTCTGCAGTAGAGTAGGTCACAGAGCTCATTTCTCACGGCAGATGGAATCTCTTGATGATATATATTTTTTCTCTACGCAAGCAAAGACTAAACAGAAATCCTGCTTAAAACTTTGAGACACCCATTTTTTTCATTTTATTCCGAGGCACATCAGCAGTTGAAATAGCAGATCCCAAATCTATCCTCAAAAGATAAACAAGAGTTAGAAAAAACATCATCAGCCCTTTCTTCAATATTTTCCCACACACAATGCCTATTTGTTCCAGACATCCCCCATTATTTTTTTGCTTTTGGTGTGAGAATGTTGATTTCTATTTCTGATTTTTATGCTTGTAAAAGTCAAGAAAACTGTAAATACTGAAGGATTTGCTTTGATTTCTGGAAATTTTTCAAAATTGAGAAAGCTGGTTGACTAATTTTTGAAGCAAGCAGGCTGGTGAAAATTTTGTTTTTCAGACATTGACTCATGTTATAAATTTACAAATGCCTAGAGTTCAATACAGGTGGTGCCTTAACCTAATCCATTTCCTGGACTAGGGTCGAATTGCAAAGCAGTTGAATTACAAGACACTTCAAAAATTGAGAAATATGATCACAAAAAAGCAGCAACAAAAAGACTAAAGCAGGTGGAATTCTGGGGTAGAGGTTGAATTGCAAGTCAACTCCACGCAAATTCAACCATCAAAATGCAGGAGAGTCAAATTGCAGGAGGTTGAATTGCAAGGTACCACCAATACACTGAAAATAAGAGGGTCATAAATATCAATTGACCCTTCTGTTTTAAGGGAGTTGGCAGAGGGGGGGGGGGTTAGATCAAGAAAATAATGAACCCAGCAAAACTTATGTTCAAATTGGTTTGTATGCTTGAGAAAACCCATTGATGCTTTTTTGAAACATGCACCTGTACAAATCTGAGCAAGAATTGCTTAGGAAAACTTCAAGTCAACAAAAATTGCTAGTGTTTACCTTTTATTCAGAGTAAATTTTTCTTGACAAAATATAAATTTATTTTTGAAGATCACAGTTTTTTTTCATCACTGAAAAAAACATCTGAAAAAGCCACAAATGGAAAAAATTGAATATTTGCTCGTCTAATTTATAGAAAATCTTCCAATCAGTCAATAATTTTGAAAATCTCATCATAAAAAATCATTTGTCATAACAAACATTTTCTAAAGTACCCATGAGTTTGTTATGTAATGAGATTGTAATGTTTTTACATTTTCAAAAACTCTGAAAAAGTGTTCAACAATTATTTTCAGATAGTATGTCTGTTTTTCAAGAACTGTATGTTCAAATCCCAGATTCAATTGTTTTTAAAAGAAGACAAAGCACTAAAAAACACACAAATGTTATTGCAATTTTAATTTTTTCAATTTATTCCTTTTGTCATGATATCAAAAAGTTCTTCTTTTTCCTTGCTGGCCAGTAATATACAGTCAACCCCTGTCTAACGGACTTGATTTGTGCAAGGGGCAAGTCTGTTCGACGAAAAGTCCTTTACACAAATTCAATTACATAAAAAATTTAAAATTTCAATTTTCAACAATAATTTTTAACCAAAAGAAGTCTGTTTGGTGGATTTTGTCTGTTGGGCAGGAGGAAAAACTGCTTGCAGAGCTGGTCTGTTTGGCAAAAATCCCTTACACGGGAGGTCTGTTAGGTGGGGGTTGCTGTATATACAAGGTGGTTGGTTTCCATTTGATTTCCAGCAAACAGAGAAGGTCACAGAGCTCTGCTTCCAAATCAGAGGAATCTCTCGAATTGATTCCTGCCTATATAGTCCAGAAAAAGTGGGATGAATTTTTTGCGCAGGACATGACATAAGAGACATGTAACAAAAGAAAAAAACTTGCTCAAAAACGGGTTTGCTTCCTATGTAGTAATGATGTTGAAGATCTTGTACATTCAATGTGAGGCTTCTCATGTATTATTTCAAGAATTGCGGCTGAGAGAAAAAAAAACCAAGGGGGGGGGAGGTATACATAATTGAATATATGGAGAACAAAAGAAGAAGAAGAAGGGGGAGAAAACCGTCAAACAAATTCTCTGTGTTTGGACACGGCGCAGTTCCGGGTGAACCATATTTTCTCCTCCGATTGCATTATCGGCTTTTCCCTTCTCACACTCATGCAAGGAACCAAAAAAGAAAAAAAAAGCATGAAATTTAGACCGAGAAATTCTTTCTTTCTTTTCTTTCTTTTTTGAATTGGCGGCGCGAAGCTTTCGTTTCGCCTTTATTTTTCTGCAGCGCGTATAGGTGTTGTATTTTTTATTTTTTATTTTTTGCTACGAGCTGGAAATGGAACAAATATGTAGTGACGCTATTTTTTTTGGTTATTGCTGAAATTGCGCAGGAAGTCAGTCTCCTCAAATGGGGAGCCAGCTGACGTTGTTGGCATCTTTGCTGGCAATCAGTGCTTTCGTGGATCATCGGCAAAACTGCTTGGCGATCCCGACTGGCGAGACTACTTCCATCCCCGCCGCCGCCGCCACCACCAGCACCAGCAGCGCCGCCGCCGCGGCGTCCCTGTCGAGCAGCAATTCCAGTGAGCTTGAAACAGTCGCGAGCGACATCTCTGTGACCAGACATGATTTCCGAGAAACGAAAGCGTTTATGCTTCATTAGATATTTAATCAAAAAGTTAATTGAATATAATTTTTTTAATTGAGCTGTCTTTGGACGATTTGCGAAAATAGGAAAATATTCGGCAAGAGCGTCATCTGTGTGACCAGACACGATTTACGTAGACGAAACTGTCAATCCCTCATTCGAAATTCATCAAAAAGTTGATTGAATATGATTCGAATAATAAGCATTATATGTAACTGAGCTGTTTTGTCTCTCATCAAAGACCTCACAATATGAAAATATAAAATATTCGTGAATAGCGACATCTGTGTGATCAGGTAGAATCCACGGCTACTTCCCATTCGCATTTCATAGAAACAATTTAATTGTATATAATGTAAAGAGCATAAATATTTTAATTGATCTGTCTCTCGAAGATTAAAGTGCGAATAGAAGAACATTCGTCGCGAGCGACATCTGTGTGACCAGAGTAACCAGACATGATTTCCAGGGAAGAACCTTTTAATATCCCTCATGCGATATGTATTAAAAAACGAATTGAATATAATATGAACAAATTATATGTTTAAATTGAGCTGTTCAGTCTCCGGAAGATTTACGAAGATAGAAACACATTCTTAGAGAGCGACATCTGTGTAAGCAGACATGATTTCCAAATAAACGGTCTATGCATCAATCGAAATTCATCAAAAATTGTTTGAATATGCATGGATCAAATGATGAAAATTCTGTAATTGAGCTGTTTCATTATCTCACCTCAAAGCTTAACAAGAGAATAAAATATGTGAACATCTGTGACACCTGTGTGATCAGACATGTTTTACAATTTTAGATTCACAAGACTGTCAATCCTCGAAATCCGAAGAAAATTGAATATAGTTCTCCGTATATAAATTTTGAAAATTGATGAGAGGTTGAGTATTTGAAGGAGTCAAGGTTTGAAGAGAAAAGAAAAGCATTCGTCAAGAGCAACATCTTTATCAGGAAAACTAGTGTGAGAGCCAAAAGTGAACAATTCTGTAAATGCTTCATTTACGGTGAAACTATCTTTGATGAAAAATTTGGTTGCCGAAATTATGTTCATGATTAAAGATATATATCATGGAATTGTATACTAATGTAGTTGTAGATATCATTTCTGCCAATAAATTTGCTGACTGATATACAAGCAGAAGTTAATAATGTGAGATGATTGACTTGAAGGCAAGGTTTTCGGAAAGTGTTTGGTAAAAATGATTTCTCATTATGCAACAATTGCTCTGGTCAGAGAATGTCATTATTCGCAGAAATTCTGCTACATTAATGAATGAAAATACGAAGTAATCCCTCCATTCTTCAACATACTGCATATACAAATCGTAGGAAAATGTTTTCGTCACAGTGGCAGAATAATTTGGTATATTTTAGAAAATGCCAAAATTCGTTGTCTGGCGGATATTTTTTTCAAGTGCAGCCCTTATTTTTTTTAGATTATTCCTTTTGAATTTTTTGGAGCAAATGAAAGTAGTTAGCTTCAATAAATATGTTGAACTCTCGGCGACCATCAGAAAATGCTCCATCAGTACAACATCATTCTTTTAAGAAAAAATTCACAGAGAGGATTATTTCAGATTTGAATAAATTATCAATTGGGGGTACTGTATAAGAAATAAACTGAATGTCACAGCCCGAATTCAAATTCCATATGAATTTTTTATGAATTATTTTTTCGCTGGACGATTGGAAAGCACTTCAGATGTTTGAATCTACTATCTTTGAAAAGTCATTTTCCGAGATTTTTTCTTTATGAACTCAGACACGATTGAATCACAAATTTGAAATAAAGCATGATGAATCTTGCATGATATATCTGCATAAATATGAAAGGCGAATTATTTCCTAATCAGAATTGTATACTATGAATACATTTGGTCAGGAGGAACAAATTTTTAAATTCCCCTCTTTTCAAATTCCCCTGTTCTGCTGGTGACTTGGCTGAAAAGTGAAAACTAACAAAATTCGAACTTCTCTTCAAGTCAAAATCAAATGGACTCCAACCCTCACTAGTTTTAAGGAGGTTTGAAGTTGAGAAAATAAGTATTTTTGCTGGGGTGAAAAGATAACTAGAAAAAATTCAATTGGTCATATTATGGGTCTTCAAGTGTTTCTTGAATGAGATGACAGGATGCTGAATTTAAAAATGGGTGTTCACTTGACTTATTCGTCCATCAGCTCCTTTCGAAACACAAAAATTTATGTTTTTATATAGAATCTAGCTTCCTTTTTGAATTAAAATAACAGCAAAAAACGCCTTCAGAAAATTCAAATCATGGAGATTTGACAAGAAAGTCTTTGAATTAACTAAGTTTTTCACGAATTCTTCTCAAGTAAATATTCAGACAGGGTCTTGAAGATACTCAATTCGGGAAGCTTAGGGTTACGAAGGTATGAGTTCCTGAAGTCTCCGCTTGGGAGTGCGACATCTAGTACCCGAAACTTCATTTCGCCATATCCTGATTCTTCCAACAGGCCTCCAGGTGCAGCTGGTGCAGCCATCAGAAGGAAATTCAACAGCTGCAGCAGCCCTGATTCCAGCAGCAGGCAACAACAACAGCGATGCTTCGCAAACAGCAACAAAAACGAGTTTGTCGAAAAATGACACGTCTTCGCGTTCAGAGAACGGGTCAACGAAGGCCATTAGCGTCGCTGACACGTCAACGACGGCGAAGCCGCGCAGAAAACGCCAGAGTTTGCAAGTAGATGTCGCTGACATGATGAAAACGGCGTTCGTCGATCCAGCGCTGCATCTTGACGATTTCGCCGGAATTTCGAACGATTTGCGGCTGATGAAAAAGATGGTTTCTCCTCTGGAAGAAGATGAGAATCAAGTTGAGAATGATAGGTTGTCAAGAAAGAGAAGAAGGGCTCAAATGCTCAGGTGAGATTTTGGATAGCTATAAACACTGTACATGCTGGGTATTCACACAAAATCTACTTTATTAGAGGAGATTTAACATTCCCAAACTATGATGCAAACTTTTTGCAAAATATCTCTTTTTTCTGCGACAGACCGGTCACTTTGGTTGAACAAATGTATATTGAGTCTTTCTTGATGGCTGATGAAAAGGTACAGCAAGTCATCTCCTTCAATTCATGCATCTTTTTTCTTGGAAATATTTGAGGCATGTGCACATCAATGGTGTAAGCTTTAAAATGAGCATGATGACTGCTGCTGACTTGCTGAGTGAAAAAGTTGGAATCAAAATGCAAAGATTCAATTTTGAATGCAAGTAAAAAAAAAAAAAATTCCAGAAGGCTTCTTGAAAGGCATATATTGACACTGTATTAAATTAAAATGCTTTGAATATGATTGAATGGTGAACAAATAATGTATCAAAAATACATGATATTGATCATTGATCAATAAATGTCTATTCATAGCATTTTTTTGAACCGAAAATTTCAAGAAATTAGTGGTGGAGGCCATAAGGGATTACTTTTTATAGGTGCAAATAATGAACAGGAAATTCTGTTTGGCTCAAATCCAGTTCAAATGACCCATTTTAATATTATCATTTATGTGATTATTTTGTTCAATATCATAATTACTGTATTGAATTTTTTTTCAAATTACCTTGTGAAACTGAGTGGGGTACATTTCTGTGCAAATCCATGCCAAAAATCCAAGTCACACAATGCACTCAAGCGTTTGTGGTACTCAATTGAATACAGTAAATGTATCAGTTCAACCTCAATACCTTGAACCTCTTCAAGTCAAATACCTTCAATTTCCCATTCTCAATTCCCTCCAAAATAATGCATTAAAAACCTCTCCAACTCAAAGGCTTTCCTCTTGAAACCTTAATAACTCAAAGTTTTTTTAGGTCTTTCTTCAATTTTTTTCTTGACACTGGACAGAAGAAGAAAGCAATGAAAAAGTAGAGACATTTTGAAAGGAAGTAAAATGCTGATTGGACAAATGAACCCCTGCTTCCAAGTTTCAGCATCATGTCAACTCATTAAAGAAAGAATCCCAGGCCCAGAATATAGACATTTATAATTTTCTGCATTTCTTCTTCTTTCCCAACAACAAAATTGCTTGTTTCCCTGACTCAGAACCTCCCTGAGTTAATTTGTATGGTCCATTATTCTGAAATTCAACTTAGAGATGTTTGACTGCATGTATTGCTATCCTATGTTATCCAATTTGTGTGCAAAATAAAGACTTACCACTTCCATTGTCTCTTTAGTTCTCAAGTTTTACTTTGCTTTGACATGGTACAAGGTGCAGCACAGTTGCTATATATGCAGCATTGTGGAAGTTCATCTGGAAAAAAAAGCACAAAAATATAGGGTATTGTTTAACCCTTGGGCAGTGGGGGGTCCTTTTGCATTGCACAGCTGTGCTGGTTTTTTTTCAGGCTTCTGTGTTTGGTTTTGACCAAAGCTCACCAAAATGCAGCTTTGTTTGAGTATCCAGAGTTGGGAAAAATCCCACAAAAATAAAGCCATTGTTCTGATGATCCCTCAATGTTCATTCTACATCAGGCATGCAGAGAAAATGCCACCCAAAAATTTACTTTTTCATTTTTTAAATTTGCAGTACAGATGCTTTAAGAATTGTGGATATTCTCCAACTTTGGCTTTTCTAATCATTCTTGCTTTCTCTTTTTTGTCACTCCTTATTGTGCTGGCACAACATTTTGCAGATAAATCCCACCACCGCCACCCAAGGGTTGATGAGTGTTTATTTGGGACACACTGTTACAGCATACTGTATGTGTATTAGCTATCCCCAAGTGGGGAGCTATTCTTTGTGTGACCCCATGACTGGTGCACACTGGGGTCAAAACTGGTTTACATGGGCTATTCTAGGGTTACAAGCATGCACCTCTGTAGATGGAATTTTGCTACCATTCCATGGCTACATTTGGTGCACAAATGTGACATAACAGGAGTAACTGGCAAATGCACCAAGTGTAACCTTGGTGTAACTTATTTGTTACAAATGTGACCCTGAGTAATCCTGGTGTGAACACACAATTGGTGCACATTAGGTATATGCGCATGTGCAGAAGAAGAACTTTGGTACACTTCAGGTGCACAGCAGCGGGTCACTGTGTGGAAATACATTGCATATCCCAAGTGTGCACCATTTTCCCCACTCAGGTTACATTTCTGATTTGATTATTGTTATTTAAATTTCAAATAAACGTGGGGCGTGTATAAGATTTTTTTTATTTTTCCTGATGAATTAATTGTGTCGATTGGACTTAGTGACTCGGACTTTTCGGACAGCTCCCCAGCTGAGGACACGGACGTGGCCAGGGCCCTGATGACCAGCTTCGACTTTGACGACGTGGACCGTGGCCTGGAACTCAGCCACTTGAAGCGTCGCAAACGCGGCTCGTCCGCCGAATTCCGCAAAAAGAAGAAAAAGAAGGCGCCGAAGGCCCCGCAAAAACACAAGAAAATCAAAAAGCGAGAAGACGGAACTTCCTCGACGACGAGCACAACAACAACAACAACAACAACAACTGCAAGTTCATCTACAACAACACCCCAGGGGTCGAGCAAAGGATCCACGTCAACTGTCTCATCTAGCAGCAGTAGCAGCAGCAGCAGTGGAACGACCTCTGGGTCCACCACGAGTCACAGTAAAGCGGGTGTGACACCTAGTGGCAAAGTGAAACCTCGCCGCAAGAGGGAGACACGTGCTCCACGAGCAGCGCAAACCACCAAGTCTGAGTCCAGCAGTGAAGAGGAAGGTTCTGGAAGGGCAGTGTCAGGACACTACTACTCGGTTGTGTCAGAGGCCGTCACTAAGAGGACTCAGGTGAAAATTACTCCAGTCTAGTCACAACTGTACTTCTCACTGATACACCAGTAAATGTAAGCCAAGCATTTTTAAATTGATACTTATTCAAAATGAAAGCAAAAATACACTGTGGCCATTGATAAAATTTATATACTCTACAGTATTCCATTGGATGATATTTCTTTTGAAAAACAACCATTTTCTCCATTTTATATATGGGTGGAAAATGTTCAAGTTATTCTTTTTGAGAACCTCACAAAACATACTTGATTAACCTTGAAACCTGTGAATTTTGGTAAAATATTTGTGAGAGAACGTTTGATGATTATGTTATCCTCATTTTTTTAAACCCTTGTTTGTGGCAGAGTTGGGATATTTTTGCAAACTTTTGTGCCACTGAGCACTGGAAATTGAAAAATCCTACTTCAGGAAAAAGCACAATATATTTTTCCAATCCAGCAGAAAATTTTGAATGAAAAATTTTAAAAATCCCTCACTGGTTGGTGTTTTTTCCTGCATTCCTGGCAAAGGAGTTGCATGGGAGAATCCTGAAAAGGTTGAGCTAATCCTTGATAGATGGACATAAAATATCATGTTTGCATACATTCAATGTGCATGTTGCAGGACATTCTGTAAAATAAAATAAAAATAAGAGACTCTAGTTCTCCATGAATTAAATGAACACTGAGGTAGGATCAAGAACTGAAGAGGGCTCAAAGAGCATTTGAATGTCATTTGTTTGATGAATATATCAACCCCTAAAATTTCATGGACAGCAGACAAAATATCAGAACTGCTGATACTTGCAATAGTTACTCATAGCTGTATTTTTTTCATGAAAGTGTTCTCAATATCTGTCATATTGTACTTTGACTGATAGAACTGCTGGACTTGGTGACTTATTCTGATGTATAAATTAGTGAGTTTTATCCTCCAGATATTTGTGTCAAAAATCTTACTCTCTATGATGAATCATCCATGAAGAGGAAGGGACCAAACCCGCCTTAATGGATTTATTTTGGTAGTTGTGCAGCAGAAACACCCCTCACCATGTCACAAAACATTGATTATACAGGTTCCACGACATAAACAGACATATCCGATCCGTTACATGAACAGAAAAAAACAGACAGACACTCAAACGAAACATGAAAACAGGTTGTTGTTGTTGTGCTTTCCTCCCGCCCCCTATGCCCGCGTCTCTCCGGCTGCCCTGCTGATGCCTCGCGGCCCGCCCACCAGGTGTCGCACAGCAGCAGCAGCAAACCCGGTCGTGTTGGAGCAGCTCCCAATGAGACAGAGATCACTTTCAGCAAGCGGTATTGGGAGCGTTTGCGCAGACAGGAGCAAGAGGAGCAGGAACTGCTTCGAAAGGAGATGGAGGAGGAGAAGCGGATGGAGGAGCAACGGAGACGGATAGAAGAGGCCTGGAAGCGACAGCTGGAGGCGGAGAAGAAACGTAGGAGGGATTTGATTGCGGAGCGGGAGCGCAGAGAGCGCGAGCGGCGGGAGCAAGGTGATTTCCAATATCGAATACTTACACCAGTGTTACCAAACCTTTTTGTCCATGCAGACCAGCACATTTGTGTAAAAAATGTTTCTACAAGACTAGCAAATTTTCAACAGCAACAAATTTACTGCTGACCAGCAAAGTTTCATAAAATGTTTGCAGACTAAACAAATTTATTTTGAAGACTTTATGGCTGGTATTCAAAAAGTTTTTGTTATTTTGTAAAAATGAATTTAACAACCAATGAAGCAGCTATATTGGAATATCTTCAAAAAAAATCAAAATGTCGATTTGAAGAAAGGTTTCTCAGAAAAAAATTGAATAATTTATTCCAGAAGGTGAAAATTTGTCCAAAGTGTTTTGAGGATGAAAGCAAACTTTTATTTGTCATTCTATGATTTCAACTGACATTGCCTTTCCAAAATTGCAGAGAAAGATAACAGAGTTACAGTAATAGCTAATTTTTATAAATAACGGTATATCAAGTTCACAAAAATGTCCTGCAGACTGGCAAAAAACTTCTGATGACTTGCTCTAGCCTGTGGACCATGGGTTGGGGAACAGTGGTATACACTATACTGTACATGTTACTGTACTGTATAAAAATTTCCTCCTCTCAGATTTTCCACCTCTACAGTCAATACACAAAAAAAATAACAATCATGACCAATGCTGTGTATTAACAACCAATTTCTCATAACAAATCTTACTTTCCAGTCCCAGCAGCTTCATTGTGACAAGAGTGTCCTGGGTAAACAATAGTAATAAATTACAAAGAATATTTTCATGATGAGTTTTACTACAATATTTTTTCTCAAAGTCAAAAGTTTCCCCATATGCACAATGTTATGAAATCTTGCATTAAAATACTCAATTTAGGCTATATTTTCATGATATAGTATTTTTTCCTTGATTTTCTGATGCATAGGCCATATCGGGATTATTCAATAAACGTCAGAAAAATGAGAGAAAAAGTGCTACAAAAAAGTGAAAATTTCTGTGGAGAAAAAATGGTGTTCAAAAAATGCACAACATGAAATATTTCTTGAAAATTCTTTAGCTCCATTTTAGAATGTATCCCTTTCTTCCAGATGAACAGTAAGCTTGAAAAAAAATTACCCTCATTTGAAAGAATACAGACAGTTATGAATTAATAAGTTGATTCAAAACAAAGTACATCGTATTTGTATTGCATGTAATTTTGTTTCTTTCTTTTCAAAACAAATGATGCTGCAGTGCAAATAAAACATGTTTAATGAAAGAAAATTACTATGATTTCAATATGGTTTTTCTCTTAATTTCCTCAGAATTACTTATAATGAATGACTGAACAGAACATTTTATTTGCCGCTTTTCAGTGTTCACAAGGTTCACTCAAGATTTCCACAACCAAACCCAAATCCACTCAATAACATTTTGATCACTTCAGAGCAGGAAAGCACAAATTACTAAAAAAAATAAAAGAAAATACAATACAACATGACTACTTATAATACCTATAATTAATTATCATAGATCATGAATTACAATATCTGTTTTTTGGAAGCACTTGATAGCTTATAATGTTTATCATACCCCTTCCCCATGGAATTCCAGTGACTGAAATGTGTTGAAACCCATGAATCTTGATACAATGGATTTTCCATAGCTAAGGTCCCTATAATAGGAGTACCTATAGTGTAACGAGATTTCACTGTACCAAGTTTTTTTTAATTTTTTTTTCGCGCCAGAACGAAGAGAAGAGGACGAATACCGGCAACGCGAGCGCCAGCGGATCCTCGAGGAAAAGCGGCGCGAGATGGAAGAAAAGCGGCGGCTGGAAAAGGAGCTGGAGGAGCGCAAGGAGCGCGAGGAGCGGATCCGGCGCGAGCGAATCGAGCGCGAGCGTCGCATCGACGAGGAACGTCGTCGACAGGAAGACGAAAAGCGGGAACGAGATCGCGTCGAGAAGGAGCGCGAGCAGCGTTTGCGCGAAGAGCGGATCCGGCGCGAGAAAAAGATGCGCGAGGCCAAACGCCTCAAGTATCTGGAAAAACGGCGTCGGGAACGCGCCCAAAAGCTGTTGGAAGAACGTCGGAAACTCGACGAGATGCAAGTCAAGCTCAAGGAGAAGTTGTTGCAGGAGAAGCTCAAGATGCACGAGAAGGAAGTGCGGTACAAGCAAATGGAGAAGAAGCACATTGAGGAGCTCATGAGTCACGGCAGTGACGTGCCGGACGTGTCGATGGAGTCGCAGGAAGTGGAGAAGGAGATGGAGCAGCCGCCGCCGTCGGGATCACCGCCTTCGTCGCCGCCATCCAGCAACCGCCCTCATCATCATCATCAGCAGCAGCAGCAGCCGCCAGCAGCAGCAGCAGCATCACCACACCCCGCAGGTAATCGGGCTTCGGGATCATCGTCATCTACAGCCAGGCCCGGCCAGGGCGGCGGCCCTAAGGCGGCGCCCATGAACAACCAGCACCACGCCCGGCCGCCGCCAACACCGCCTCACATCACCAGCAGCAGCAGCAGCAGTCATCACAACAAGAACTCGGAGGATGACGAGGACGAAGACGAGTCCGGCGGTGTTGACGACGAGCCGAAGAAAGGTAAAACCGGGAAACCGTCCCCAAACAAAAACGGCCCCAAAACCGCCATGACGCGTTCGAATCCCATAAATAATCATGGCGACGCTCGTGGTGCTGCTGAGGATGATGACGCAGAGGCCAAGGCAAGTTAATCTCCTCCTCCTCCTCCTCCTCCTGCAGTAAGCCCCTCCCACCTTAACTCCGCCCATGTTGGAAACCTCAAACACAATCCCCTCTTCACCAATGCAAAAATCATCAACAGAACTCTTTTGGCATCCAACTTTCTCTCAGTTTTTTTATCCATGAAAAGAACCAAGACCTTATATACAGTGAGACCCCCTACTTGTGGACACCTCAACCTGCGGACAATTTGACATAGGGACACTTGTTTTCACAGAAACAATTCTTAAAAAAGGCCTGACATGAGGGCACTGACTCAACATAGGGACATTTTGCAATAAAATTCCAAATTCATTGCAGGCCAAATTACAAGAAACAGATACAGTATTTCCAACCCTAAAATTGATGCAAGAAAAGTTTTTGGCATTTCTCTCACCAATTTTCCATCCATTTAGCTAATTTTTAAAAAGTTACCGCCAGCATAGAGGGACTTCTACTTTTTTCACTTGAATGTTATTTTTGAAGATGTCAACATTTCAATGTACAGTACACAGATACACTATTCAATGCTCCAAATGTTCTTATTGAGTTTAACCCTTGTGCAGCGAAGTCGGACTATTTTTGCAAAATGCTGTGGCACCTCAGAGAGGTTTGGAAAAAAATTAGAATAGGTGGTCAAGGGCAAAGTTGGGAAAAATCCCGATGCTTTTTTCTCTGAGCACAGAAAAATGTTGCTGGCAAAAGAATTCTCAGTTAGGCTACTGGCTTTTTTTGGATTAATCTGGACTTTGCCTCAGCCCCCCTGGAAGGGTTTTGGTGACCTTCCAAAAACTGAAAATGCAGGAGGATACAAAAATAATCTGACTCCGTCCTACTATGGGAAAGAACCCTCCGCCAACCAAGGGTTAAAATGTATTCACTGATTCAAATTCAAGTGGCAAACAATTTTTTCAGGGAATTCTGAAGAATGTTTCTTCCATAAAACACCAATTAAAAATTATATAATGTAAGTCTACAGGAAAACAAGACTTGACTTAGGGATAATTCAACTTAGGGACACTTGTGATGCACCAATTATGTCTGCATTTTTGGGTCTCACTGTATATAAACAGCACATTACAGGTAGTACCTTGCAATTTGACCTGCCACAATTTGACACTTGATCAGATTTCCTGGGATGCCAGCTCTCAATTTGACCTCTACTTTGCAATTTGACCTGTGGAGAGACATGAAGCATCAAATGCCATGTAGAAAACATGCCCTTTGACATTGTCTTGCAATTTGACCCTATTCCAGCAATGGATTATGGTCAAATTGCGAGGTACCACCCATATATAATGTATTGAGGTTTCCAAGACACTGTGTTTACTTGTGTACCATTTTCCCACAAACAAAACTGTGACAAGAAAAAAATGCTCCTGCCATATGTACACATACCATGACATTATGAGTCTCAACTGGGGATTTATCTGCATTTTCTTTGCAAAAATAAAGGCTGAATGGTACCCAAGTGAGTGTAGTACTCAATGAAGACCAATAAGTACCTTTTCCCCACCTGCCAACCCAAATAAAAAAAGTTTGGTGATGTTATAGTACCTGAATGGCCACCCAGAACACACCTAGAAATACTGTACATTAGATAATCTCATAGTATGTGACTTACCAGAAAATTACTTGTACAGTATATAAGCTACTTTTCATTATTAAATGATGTCAGCTATTTAAGGCATGGGTTAAATAATTCACAGTGAGTGATATGGGCAGAATATTAGCTAAACAAAAAAGCATGGAAAAACTCCATTTCATCTGATTTTTGCAGCCATTGAAATGGATTAAGCTTTTTTTTCAATGCCTCACCTTAGGTTCTTGACTATGTTAAATTTATATTTGTAAAGTCACTCAATTCCTTTTTTTGTGATCTGTGATAGAGTATAGTCAAGTGTTGACCCCATTTAGCTGTGTTCTTGGTGAGCTTAGTTGGTTAAATTGCTTAGTATACACTTAAATGGATTGCAATAAGTCTATAGACAGTTGAGTGATTTTATAGTTTATTAAAATGTTGATCTTCCCAATTCCATTGAATCTTGTGTCAGTGAAGAGATTTGGCCCGCACCAAATTTTAAAAAATGAAACATGGTTTTCCAGCACTTGTTTGAACCAAAGAATATTGACCGTGTGCTGCAGAGAAGTGAAAATTTATTTTTGGAGCAGCAAGAATTCATAGAAAATTCATTTTATGTCAAGATTATGCTGTGAAGAGGTTTGGTTGTTCCAGCTGTAATTACTTTATTTCGAACCTTGTGTTTTTTTTTTTTTTGGTCGAAAAGTTGAAAAAGTAACTTATATCTGAAGTCACGTTGGCCACGCCTTTTTCTGGTTGGTCGAATACTGAACGTCAATTTGGTTAGTCGCATACCATAACAGTACTCCAAAGCTTTATCCAGATAATGGGGTTCGACTGACGAAATATTTCTTCTTCTCTCTGTGTTTCCTCTTGCCATTTTCTCTGCTGGTTCTTCTTTTATTTTATTTTTTTGCTTGCGTGAATTCTTTGCCGGTTATTTCAAAATTGTTTTCTTTTCTTCTTTCTCCGAACAGGGGTGAAGAAAAACAACACGACACGCGAACAACACGTGCAAAAACAAAACCCACGAACAACAGCAACAAAAAAAAAAGAGACAAAGAGAGATAGAGAAAGAGCAACAGAACACCTGAACAAGCACTGAAGAAAAATACCCGAGCTTTTATCGGATTCAGATCCGCCTTTTTTTTTTATATGAATTCAAATTATTAAATTTCATTTTCTGAGGGGAGAAAAGAATATTTTTTGAGAGACACCGAATATGTTCTCTCTCTCTTTCTCTCTTTTCCCCCCTTTTACTCTTCGTCCTTCGTCTACTTTATTTGCTTTTATTCACTCTCGTGTTCTTCACATGTGTTCGGCTTCTTTTTTCTTCCGCCTTTTCGCTCTTTCTTTCTTGCGTGGTGTCTGATTTTTGGCAGATCGCGTGGCTGATAGCGAATGACGTTGAAGACGGAAGTCCTGGGATTTTGCTGCTGATGTGAGCTGATTTTGGCGGAATTGGGGATTTTCTTCTTCAGCGAGAGAACGAAAGAGTCCTGGCTACTGGAAGAGGATTTGGAAAATAAAAATTGCTGGATTTCAGGAGGAAAATACAGTGCTATTTATTTTCAACTGTTTTTGTTCGTGTTTTCATTTAGTTTTTGCTTATTCAATATATGGGACGGTTCGTGAAATATTTTGACGAGGGAATGAGATGGAAACGGAATATTAAAATTGTTGCATGAACATTTTCCAATTCGCGTCAATTGTGAAAAACTCTGAATGAAATATGCATACACAGATATTCAGCATTTCTCAACTCAAAAGATCACCAAAGTACAATATAAAAAATCAAGAACTCAGTGTATTTTACTTGTAGAATATTTGAATACAATTCATCACTTTGTTAGAAACGGAATAATCCTCCTGAAATTTAGCAAAGAAACACTGATATTTTTGAAAATCTCCTGGTAAAAGAATGAAAAACATTTAGCAGTGGAGTAATGAGCATAACATCACCTTTTCACTTGAAGTGAAGTTTCATCGAAATATGTCTATAATCTCAATGTGTGGTGGGTCCTTAGACCACACAACAAAGAGTTGGCTTATAGTGAAATAAGCCTAGAAAACACAATCGGCCATTTGTGGCCTGAGGATTCCAAACTCCTCAACATCTGTTTATAACTCAAAGTCCAAGTCCACAAATATGTCCAACCAAATATGTCACACACAATATGCAGGTCTGTTCTCTCCAAAGTTCAGAGTGGGATTGATTGATTCTTCTGATGGTTTCTCACAGGTCCAGGTCCTCCCCAGTGGAAAGCTTCTCATCCAAGGTTTTCACTGGGGTGTGACTAATTTTCTGTTTAGAAATATCCTGATAAATCCTTCCATCAAGTGATGATTCACTTGATGGAATGTTTTTCCAGAAGATCAATATCTTTAAGTTTCATAATGTTTGGAATTAAAAAATATTGTTTTTATTTGTTTCAATTTGTCTGGAATTTATTTTCTTGTATGACATGGCATTTCATACGCTGTGTTGTACTTTTTGTTCCTTACTGTACTTGCGCTGCAGGTGACATCTAGTCAACCTGCAACACAATGAGCTTTAATCAAAAAGTTTCTCAGTGACTTGTATATATAGTGAGACTGAAATGCAAAAATTTTTTTAAGCCAAGCAATTGAAAATAGTCTTCCATTTATCCAAGAAACAATGTAGATTGTAAATTTTTAGTCAATTTACACAATCCTTTTCAAATTTTGATTCAAAAGTTAAGGTGTATGTGTACAATTTTTGTCATTTGTGTTATCAATTATTTGAGATATAGTACATTTTGTGAGTAAAATTTGAATCACTGAAACTATGGGTTGACTGAAGTCAACTCCCATCAAACATACTTAATGTTTTCAAAGGAGAAGTATGTCAGACAAAAACACATTAGACAAATTCACTTTTTCAATAGGTAATATACATGTTAAAAATTTTAACTTGACCAAGGTGCATTAGATGAAGTTGATACATTAGATGGGATGAAAAACTGCCTTCAGACTCCAGAACGAGATGGTATGTTAGACATACATCTCTTAGATGGGAGGTACATTAGACAGGGGTTGACTGTATTTCATGGTTCATGCTTTTACAGCAAATCATGTGAAATTTATTCAATATACAGCCCCCATGCAATGGACCTCCTCCACAACAGATTTTTGCACAACAGACCGCTTTTCGTGGCAGTTTTCCCTCCTGTGCAACAGACTAAATCTGCATAACAGACTTCCGTCAGTTTAGAATTATAATCATAAAAAGGAAATTTTTTAATTTTCTAATAATTTAATTTGCATAACAGACTTTTCACACAACAGATTAGTATGTTGCACAAATTAAGTCCATTTTATGGCAGCCATGTAATTTCTTGATGCTTGTAAAAATTCCCTGAAATTCCTGGGTAAATTTAACATATTCTGTTGAGTCATGTAAAAAAATTCTATGAGGAAAATCAATAAATTCACATTTTACTTCTGGAATTTGTGCACAAATTCCCAGTTGTGTCAAGTGCAATGTGACAGAGTAGCTAGTGATGACTCATCAAAATGAAGATTGTGAAAAAACAATTTTTAAATAAAAAAAAAAGTTTGGAGAGGAGGGAACGCATCTCCTGCATTTTTCTCAGTGCATTCTCTCCAATAAAATGTGCCTGACAAGTGAAAAACAACACAATTTGATTTATTTTAATCACAGAAGATATTTTTGTTTCAAATTTCCCAGAATTTCAACAGTGATGTTCCCCTCAGGCCAAATGAGCCTTCATAATGGGAAACCAAGACATGGAAACTTCAATTTTACACAAAATTAGCCCAATTACTATTTTTTGTTCAAGTTTCGTTTCCAAGAAAAGAGAAACACAAACACGCTCCGCCCA